GAGTTGGAAGTGAAGACTTACTCAGCTGACTTAGCCCACACTATCTCACTATTTCTTTCACTACTCTTTACATAATACAGCTGACAGGCATTCCACGATGAGAAATTACGACGGGCCCTTATTAATCACTACAACGATTATCTCTGTTTGACTGTTACAAAAAGTGATGACACTGGATAAAAGTACAACTTATTTCCTGTCACTCTCTCTGGACTGTATGGAATTAAGTTAACCACAGCTTTATAATTACCTGAATGTTACAAGGTTAAAATACCTTTATATATATATATATCAGAATGTTCACCAAACTGATTTAACATCAAACATACAGGAAAATACGCAAAAAAAAAAAAAAAACAGAAAGAAAAAAAAGATTACGAACCATTGGGGGTTCAAGTGAAGTTGAACTTAAACATAAGTGAAATTATTATGAATATCTGAAAAATGGAAGACTGATTAGTCAAGAGAATGTCAAACAACAAGATGACTCCTCTCTGCAGGTTGGCCCCAGAGAGGAGGATCTGACACAGCACTAAGTGGACAGTTTGCTGAAAGGAGCTCAAATGGACAGGTGTTTGAGACATGTCCATCTGGGAGGAGAACACAAGAGAGACAATAGCTACCAGTCAGCAATGGCTAACAGTTAGCCCAGACACTTGGGCAACATGGGCTAAAACAACAAAAACTAAGCAAAAGTTCGACTGGACCTATTTAATCACAACATTGTTAAGTTATGGATGTTTAAAGGGATGAAACTCAGTTTCAAGACTTTGTAGTTCAGTCTGTCAGTCCAGCTGCTTGTCTGTAGTTAATGGTTACTTTCATTCAGAAAAGAAAATCTTTGTTTTGCTGTTCAGCCATAAATTTAATCAAACCCTTATTCATAATTATTCCATGTCTGTAGTGTGTGTTGATAGAAACTGACACAGATTTTAGTCTTATTATAAGATCGAAATGTTTGTTACCAACACAGAGTAAAATGTAACAGAGCAGTTAGAACCGGTAATCTCTTCTTTATATCTCTAGACATTTGACATTAAGGCTCTGAAACTAGAACCAAAAAAAAAAAAAAAAAAAAAAAACAAAAAAAAAACAACACACACACTGAGCAGTAAAAAGCAGATAATGATTTTGGGGCAGTTCTCTGCTTTTGGATTCATGCTAACAACAGTTAGATATGGGACTTTCCAACGCAGCGTACAGTGTGGGGCCCTGGTGTGCATCCAGGACAGGCTGGCAGCGGATGTGACGATAAACATTGTACCTGAGAATTTGCCCTTTACTGTGTATGTAGAATGGAAAAGAAATGACATCGCATCATATTTGACTGTATTTTTGAACAACAGTTAAATAAATTATTGTGTCAAATTTGGGGGAGAACTCGTAATTTTCCACCATAGACCATAGATAGTCAGAATGAATCTCAATCTGTAAATGCATCGTTTGGGGTTCTGTATGATCTCAAATCCCAAATATACCTCTTCTTCCTTTGGTGTCATATTGTTTGTGGAGAAGAGCTATGGCAGCTTGCTTGCCAACAGCGAAACAGTACACGTTCACCTTTGTTGACTCTAGCAGCTGTGACCTCAGACATTGTAAGTTGTATTTGATCAAACCATAAATCCTTGAATTTCAACTTTTACTGCCAAAGTGTAAGACTATCCTAACCTTGGATAAATCCTTACAGATTTGGTTGTAAGGATTTATCCAAGGTTAGGATAGACCTACACTGTAGGACCAAACAAAAATAAAACCAACATCCAACTGACTTTGTCCATTTAAGAAATGTTCATAATAAAAATGTCTTCAAAATGTATGCATTAAAAATAATAAATCCCAGATTAAAGTAAAAAAAAACATGTTTTATTATTAATTGGTGTAAACTTGAATAAACTAATACGAACACGCGGTTTAAACTACTGGTGCACACATAATAAAACTACATTTTGCAGGTTTTGCAAGAAAACATCTAGACCACAGCAGCAAATGGTTTCCAGCAAAGTACCATGAACCAGGTGAACCCCAAAAACAATGTAACATGATAATAACAATAGTGGTTTTTGACGCATTTGGTGGAACACGTGCATGAACACGGTGCCTCAGTGATATTCTGCTTGAGGACGACCTTTGATAACACGCACAATAACCTCAGAAGGAGCTGTTTTTACCTGTGCTAATGTCAAACTGCATGTTACTGGGCTTCCCCTCCATGCTAATGCTTCCTCTGTATCATTAGTGAGGTTGTTGACGACTGAGAAGAGTTAACACTCAACAATCACACTCACGCCAGGAAATAATATTTCTGAGAAAAAAAATCCTCACACTATCAGTCATTAAAGAGTGTCGAAGCAAATACCTTAGAGAAACTTTAAAAACAAGATTTTTTTAAAATTTTAAAACAGGTTATATGTGACAAAATATATGATTGAAAGAACATTCCATTTGTTCTAATTTGTTACAGCTGAAGAATGGAAATCCTCTCTCTGACGGCAAATTTCCGGAATCCAGTAAAACTACTTAGTGTCAATTAACGTGGTATGTTGCAGTGTTTGGGGAGTCTAGTTGTATGAGCTACTAATATAAAGTATACGGTTACTGCACCGTACCTATAGACTGTATATAGAAAATGGAAGCAACCATCTTGTTGCAAAGTTGACGCTGAAGGAGAAGAACAGAATTTGGCTGTTTTATTGTTTATCAATATCAGCTTCGTATCAGTCGGATAAATTTAGTCGGTTTCTTATTTTTGTTATTATAATTTATTATGTTCCATTTAGAAGAAAACAGAAGTTAAAGCATAACTGTGATCTACGTATCTGTGACTTATACACCAACATCCTTACCCTCTCTCCAACAGAACAAAATACAGATAAATAACATGGATCAAATTATTATTCATTATTTATTTATTATTTATTTGGTTAGGTAGAGTCATGTTAATCACTACTAGTTATATAATTAATCCGGTGTATATAATATAGAAGTCATACAGATGACAAGATAGGAACAAAGGCACAGTGACGTTTCCTGTGAACTGAGCTGAAGATGAAATGTTGATCAGAAAACCTGGGTCTTTGAATTGTAAGGAAAATCAGGAAAGACTTCCAATCCCTTCCAAAATCCATGTTACGTTAACAAGGTAATGAAAAAATATTGTTAAAGAAAGGTATAAAAATAAATATATTTTACAAAATAAAACATAATAATAATAGTAATGATAGGAATAATAATAATAATAATAATAATAATGAATTGCTTTAGATATGTAAAAATGACCAATATTATCCCACATACCGAAGACACGTGTGTAAAAATGACTTAAGTCAATCCTACAAAGTAATTTTTGGAATCAATTGATTTCCACTTAAATCCAGTTTTAAACGTTATAGACAGACGGCAAATTGAAGATCGTTGTGGATGCGTCAAGTGTCCTACATATTAACTAGGTGGGCGGTAGGTGGTTTTCAGAATAGCTCATTTCATTCAATGATTTGCATTCTCTCAGTTCCTCATCTCAAAATTTTTATTGCGTAAAACTAAAATCCCTGACGTGTTCAAATTTGATGTCAAATGCAAATAATGGTTTTGTACCGCAAATGCAATCATCAGCAGAAATAGTTAAAGAAAAACAAAAAAACAAATGGTCTCATTTCACTTTTAGGGCTGAGGAATCTGAGTAAAAAGTGTAACGATTTCGATGTCTGACTTCTGAAATAGATTGAAATGGTTCTGGTTCCACCATACGATCCCTTTCATTCCCTGATGTCTTGGCTTCATGAGGAACCAAACTTCTACATATGTAACTGGGAATTCCAAAATGGTTCCTCTGCAGATACATGATTCCTTCACATCTGAAAATGTATTAAACAGATGCAGATGAAGTCGTCGGCAGATTTCCCTGTTTGTCTCTGCCTTCACTGCAGCTCCATCAGTGAGGAAGTCATTTCTTCCAATAGTTTCATTAGACTGAGTTGGAAGTGTTGATTTTGTTGCAAGGGGAAGAAGGAGGTTTTTTTTAATCTCATCATTCATTCTAGCCATTTATTATTGACGATTAAAAAGCAGTAAAAGTAATTAAAGAAGACAGAGAGATAGAGAGAGTGAGGAGAGCCTTCAAACCAGAGTTATTTCACCGCCATGCCTTTTTGAAAATCTCCCTCTAAAGGTATTTCTGGTGTTTAGCCGTCATGGTGGAGAGTCTGGAGCTAGACTAGACAAGAAAAGAAAAGCAGAGAAACATGTTTGAAAGACTAAAAAAAAAAACTCTTTAGTTTTGGTTTCGACTCTTAAATCTGTGGTTTCCTTCGGTAACGCTTATCTCTTCATCGGTAGAATGATGAGAAGAGGCAGATACAAGTAGTACAGGACTAATGTCAGAGATGTTTTCATGAGCTGACGATTCAATGATTGAATCACTAGGAAAGTCCTTCATGGTGATGAAAGGATGTCTCAGGGCGTCACCAGGGTTGACTCTTTTCTCTGGATCTACTTGCAGCATCTCCTTAAGAAGGCCTATGAAGGCTTGTGTGTCCTTCAATCCAGCAGTACCTGGACGACTCTTGACGATGTCATCCATACGGGTGATCAACCACGTGTCGGTCACTAACTGGTGAACCTCTGGCTGCTCATTTGAACTGGACGATGTATCTGAGGTTTCGGAGCTCCCAGATCTCCACGAGTTCCATGAGCCATCTGATCTCCGAGACCTCCCTGATCTCAATGAATTAGAAGAGCTCTGTGATCTCCATGAGTTCCAAGAGCTCCCTGACCTCAGGGAACAACTGCACTCAGTTTTCAGCCTCCACTGAGAATCTTTGTAAAAATATTTTGTGGTGTAAATTCCGTAATTTAGCAAATGATCGTCAGGCAGACCATGCAGCTGTACAATATCAGCAATGTTTTCCAACTCACAATTCCCTGAATATAAGCTAGCACAGATGTAAACAGAGGCAATTAGAGAGCCCAGAGCCCACATGTCGACAGCCTCACTGAGGGGGAGGCCCAGTAAGATCTCAGGGGCCCTGTGTTCAAGGTCCTGGAAGATATCACCTGGGCACAGTTTGGAGACATCTAGAGACATACCAAAGTCAATCAGCTTCACCTTAAAGGGATGACGCTGGTGGTTGATTAACATTATGTTGTCTAACTCAACGTCTGCATGAACCATCCTTATGCTTTTCAGAGTGTCCAGAGCCACCAGCATTTGTTGTGTGATCTCCCGGATCTCGGACAGATACAGCGGTCTGCTGGAGTGTTTGAGAAAGTCCCTGAGAGTCACGTCCAGTTTTTCAAACTCCAGAAAAAAATGTCCTTGGAGCTCAAGGTGCCGGATAAAACGGACGAGGTTGTGCTTGTCTGCGTCGAGCTTCTTCAGCTGCCTCAGAACCTCCACTTCTTCTTGTCCATTCTTAGCGTCTTTGATTTTTATAGCCTTTACCGCCACTGACTCGTCTGTGTCCGATCTCCTGCACAAGTACACAGAACCAAAACCACCATGACCCAAGAGACTCTTTACCGAATATCCGCAGGACTCCATAAGAGGAATCAGATAATTGTCAAGTGGAGCATCCATTGTTAACAGTTTAATCTCACTGATGATTTCCTTTTCGGTGATATCTACACTGCAGCTGTATTGCTGCCTTCATGTTTTTGTTTTGTTTTTTCTATGATTTGAGCCTTGTTTGACAGCTGTAATAGCAAACGATGACTTCTGTATTCTGTATCTACATCTGCTGGATTAAAGACTTAGATTGACACCAGACACCTTTGATGTAGTGGTTGCATAACTGTGACATCACACGCTGAGTTGAGTGTGTAGTTGTAGACGAATCTGTACAAGACTGAAGTCAGTTGTAAAGTTGCTGCAACTATGGTCAATTCGAGTCCTTGTGTCTGCTGATGCTACACTAACTGAAGCATTACCACTGTCGCTATTACCACAATGAACAACAACAGCAAGGCACTACTGTGAGTTGCAGGTTGCACATTACAGGCAGCGCTAATCCAAACGGCACAATCCTATATGCATGTAACGGCGTATGGTGTAACTTTGCCCTCTAGTGGACAAAATGACAGTGATTGCAGAAATTGCTATTGAGTGTCGATGTGTCTTTGGTTTGTCGCCGCAAGCAACAGCAACAAAACGGATCAGAAGGCAACAATTGTCTGACATGTACAATCTAAAGACTTGGCCCGACCCATCCATGACAGGGATACAGGACACTTTATTCCTTCAGGACTCATGAAAAATGTTGTTGAATTCACAAAAGTCCTCTCTCCTGAGGGATTATTTAGAATAGTTGTTGTTTTTTTGGCTGCGAGATTTCATGTTTTCCTTTTTTTTATTTTTTATAAACATTCATTATTAGGGATGTCTGATATTATCCGATTCCAATATTAACCCATATCGATAAATGCTGACACCAGCATTCTGCATACAGTCACCTTATTATTAAAATAAATTAATGAAATGAGCTGCAATGCTGCCATCTAGTGGCTTTCGCCGTTTATCCCCAAAATTATTTTTAGGTGACGTAATTTGGCCGGGCATTGTGTTATTGGGTTATTGGGTTCAGTACTGAAGGAAAAACCGATAACGATTCTTACAGATATTACATAATTATGCTAATATCGGACATCCCTACCTATTACAGCTTCTCCCAAACATCCTTGATGCTTGTATCACTTCTGTACTAACTTAAATATAACAACACTACACTGTATCACTTCTGTACTAACTTAAATATGTAATTATCCAATTCAATATTACTAATAATTTACAGTAGTTTTAGTTCTACCCTAACACTAACCCCTTTTTTCAGGCGCCTATGGAGAAGTAGCCTTGTTATAAATCTTACAACACAACTCACACCTGACTGGTGCACTGATCCAAGCCACAGTGTGAAGTCTTGATGCCTCCACTGCTGGCACCTGTTCCAGTGACCTCCACTGACTCCAGCCCTGTGGGCTGCACATCCACATCTGTCAACTCTACATGAGTGCTTTTAAAATACATGAAGCCCTGCTGCAGCATCGTTTAGAACTGATTAAAGAGAGTGCTAACAGTGGCCACACCCCTTTGGTACATACACCCACAGATCAGAAAGAAATGCTTAGGAAGTCCAAAGCCTCTACTAAACTTTGAAACACGCATTTAATCAAGTAAAACAGGAAACTAGTCTCTGTCTAAGACAAGCCAGTGATATCAGGTAGGTATTCTGTGCACACAGTGCCTCCTTCTGGCAGAAAGAGACATTTGCGCTATTGCCAAAAACGTGTCATTTATTAAACTGTCCTTATGACAAGAAGCAAGAGCTTGAATTAATCAATAATAGAACTAAGACACCTGAGAGTAGTGTGAGTACACAGGCGTCATTTTATGCAGTAATATTGTGTTTTTAATATATGGAGGAATGAACTGGTGTGAATAGACTTATTCTATGATGATGCTGTATATAATTATATTATTAGACAGTAATATATTACATAAACATTTGAATGTTAACATAGAAACGTGTTTTGATAAAGTTTCAAAAAACTAAAAAAAAGCCTTAATGAACTTTAGAGTTTTAACCTGAAAATAGAAATAAATTGATCCCCAACTACCCTTTAACAGGGACAACGGTCAAGATATTAGGATATATTCAGAAAACTGGGTTTTAGGTTAGGGTGTGAGAATGATACACCGACATATCGCAATATTTTGTTTCACACACTGTATCGAGTATATCGTATGACCAGAAATCCATCCATTCGGTTCATAATCCTATTACAAAAATTCAAATACTGTAGAGTCCTGACATACAGAGCTGGATCTGTAATCAGTACAGGGTTGGAAAAAATATGGGAAATGTCAGAGACGAATGTTTTGAACGAGTGTTTTGTTTTGTGGGGGCTGTTAGGGAGGCTCTGCCCTACTTCCAGCAAAAACCCTCGCACCGCCCCTGCTGTTGGTGAAGCATCAGAAGGGATTTAATCGCAGCTGAAGTTGTCTGTTCAAACTGTCGGGTGCTGCGTTCATTCTCGAAAGCTTCCCAAACTCGGCCTCTCTGCAGCGGACACAGAGGACGTTTTTCTCCGCGGTGTGACACGCTGCTCTCCTCTGCCTGGATGCTGATGAGCTGCGGCTAACGGCAGGATGGGGCTCGGCATCGCCAGTGGAGTCGTCCCGAAGCCTGGATCTGTCCGTCTGCTGGGGCCTTTCTCTGGCCTCTGAACAAAAGCATCTTTTTTTCATCCGGAGCTGACTGGAGCTTTTGTGTGTTGCTGCTGCTGTTGTTGTTATTCCTGGAGAATTTTATTAACATGACGGTTTCCTGCGGCTCGACTGGAACGATCCAGAAGGAAGCACAGCAGCAGCAGCAGCAGCAGCGGAGGCGGTGGATCGAGATGCTCCAGCACTGGGCGTCTGCCGGTGTCCATCAGCAGCTCCAGAGAGACAGGAGTCCAGCACAGCTACAAGAGGACACGCACTGAAACCTGCCCGGAGACACGAGTCGACGCCTTACTGAAGCCCTCAAATACACAGACACAGCCGAGCCCATACAGAGCACCAGTGTTAACAGAGATGAACCCACTGTTCGGGGCTCAAACCTCTGTCCAGCCCCTGACATGACATGACGTGACATGACATGATATGTTCCAGCAGGAAAGGGAGACGGATTTACGGTCGGTTTCTGGCTTATGGAGCCCGTAACATGCGCAGAAAAGTGAACAGTGACACTGCTGGTGCTGATGCTGATGCTGCAGGTGCACCTCTGTAAAACTGCAACAGGCCTGTCTCTGTCTGTCTGTGTGTCTCACTGTGGAGGACAAGCAGTTCAACAGCAGGTGAGCAGCTCAGTCGTCCGTTTCTCTCCACCGTCCATTATAAAAAAAGTATAAATGTGGACTGACAACCTGTAGACAGGTCTTTAAGAGGGACATCCGTTAGGTTTTTTTTACATGAGATACAAACAGCATCATTTAGACTACATGCAGAAATAGATGAGTTGGTGGAAACATTAAAAAAAAGTCATCCATTCTGCGGGTGTTGTGTATAATGATGTTCAGACTTTCAGACAGTTTTCTCATCAGACCATTGACCATTGAATGAGCTCAGGCCTGAGCTCCTGTCAGACACTGAGTGTCTACAGCTCATCCACTGAGCTCTGCTTCCTCCTCCCACCACCGACATCAAGCCGGAGGTATTGGGCTGCTGTTGCTACCCAGTTCCTGACAGTGACTCTGCCCTGCTGCCAACCAACTTCCAGCTACGCAAAGCCCCTCCTTCAAGACACACTCAGCCTCCCAGCTGCCTGTAGCTCACACAGCGAGCTGTGGCTGCTGCAACTTAAAAAATAGCATGAAAAATACTGCTGCAATTAGTTTATTGGATTAAAAAAATAGGTTGAATTTATTAGAAATGCATGTTTTACACATTGGGTGAAAACATGATGTTTACTGCAACATTTGGAAATGTATGGAACGCAAGACCCTGCCTGAAAAATAGTCTGAATGCCTGATTGGCTGCTTAACAACTGGTCAGGCGGTAACTAGGTTTTTTTTCTCTCCTGTAACCTGGATTAAAGGATTGCACGAAGCCCTCTGGATGTCAAATGATTTCCTTCTGTTCTTTATTGTAGTGAAGCTCAATCAGATCAAAATGTCAAACGCAAAATGGACGTATCGATCAATAAAATTAATTCCTAGAAGTGAAAAGCTCCAGTCTAGCCTAGCATAAACGTCTAAGTACAAGGATTAAAGAGCTTCTTGTCTTTTACAATTACTATTTTCATAAGGTTTATGGTGAAGAAGACAAATTTCAGGTCTTCTTTAATCAAACGCAAATCTCTATTTAGGACAAACCTTTCAATACCTTTCTTAAAAAACAAAACTAATTATAAAACATGACAAGGTGCAGCACATATGATTGGATTGGAGTGTGATTGAAAGCTGCACCATGTTTTTAAAACCTGGTGGATGGTAACATCAGTTAGTATCTAGTGTTAAAATCACTCTGGCAGCTGGTCTGTGCACAAATACGTAGCTGCAAGATCCATTTCAAACCGTACGACCACCGTCATTTCTATTCAGTCTCATTTCCTTTATAAAGAATCAGACAGAAGACAACAGCCTACTGGAAGCTTTTTCACATGTATAACGTAACACAGCTTTGTTTTCACTGTAAGAACAGCCTGTTACGTCCTGTCCTGTTTGAATTTCTAATTTTTTGTCTTTTATGATGATTTCTAGAATCCTGGAGGGGACCGGGGGTGAAACAAAGGGACCCTCATCAACATGGTGCGATGTGGTTTGAAGTGTTCTTGTTTCTTGTGAACTGCAAAAGGGAAGCAACCACGAGGACCACGAAACAACCAGCTCACGGAGGAGGAGGAGGAGGAGGAGGAGGAAGAGGGACGGTGGTCAGTTTGGTGCTTGAAAGGAAAGTGATATGGGTGGGGAACCGTTCAGGATGGCGAACGGTAACGAGAGCGTTGAAGGATCTTCCGGCTCATTGGCAGCAGTGGTGGCCACTGTAGGAGGTATGGCAGCAGAGAGTCCTTCCTCTGCTGTCTCTACCTACATCAAACTGGTGCTGCTCGGGCTAATTATCTGCATTAGCCTAGTTGGCAACCTGGTAGTATCCGTGCTGGTACTGCGGGACCGGAGCTTGCACAAGGCACCTTACTACTTTCTGCTGGACCTGTGCCTAGCCGACACCATTCGCTCAGCCATCTGCTTCCCATTTGTGCTGGTGTCAATAAAGAACGGCTCGGCCTGGACGTACAGTGTGCTGAGCTGCAAGGTGGTGGCCTTCATGGCCGTGCTCTTCTGTTTCCACGCTGCCTTCATGCTGTTCTGCATCAGCGTAACTCGATACATGGCTATCGCACACCACCGCTTCTACTCAAAGCGCATGACGTTCTGGACGTGTGTGGCGGTGGTGTGCATGGTGTGGACTCTGTCTGTGGCCATGGCTTTCCCACCAGTGTTTGACGTGGGCACTTACAAATTCATCCGTGAAGAGGACCAGTGCATATTTGAGCACCGCTACTTTAAGGCTAACGATACACTGGGCTTCATGTTGATGCTGGCTGTGCTTATTTTGGCTACACACGTTGTCTACATGAAGTTAATCCTCTTTGAATACAAGCACCGCAAAATGAAGCCCATCCAGATGGTACCGGCCATCAGTCAGAACTGGACCTTCCACGGCCCGGGAGCCACCGGCCAAGCAGCTGCCAATTGGATTGCGGGTTTCGGCAGGGGCCCGATGCCGCCCACTTTGCTGGGCATCCGGCAGAACTTACACAACCAGAACCGGCGCCTGCTGGGCATGGAGGAGTTTAAAGCCGAGAAGCAGCTTGGCAGGATGTTTTATGTGATCACCCTGCTGTTCCTGGTGCTCTGGTCACCGTATATAGTAGCCTGTTATTGGAGGGTGTTTGTCAAGGCTTGCACAATACCGCACCGGTACCTGTCGACCACTGTGTGGATGAGTTTCGCTCAAGCCGGCGTCAACCCGATTGTCTGTTTCTTCTTCAACAAAGACTTGAAGAAAGGGCTCCTTTCCCATCTACCAGCCTGCTGCAGGACTAAACCTCATCTGCCACGAGAGCCTTACTGCATCATGTAAACATGGATATCGGAGAATCCAAGGGCCAACCAAAAGATGCAACGTAGGAACCTTTACACCAGTTACTGTGGTTTTGATTTGAGTATTGAGTGGTGAATGGTGAAAACCCAGGCGTGGTAAGCATGTAAACCCATTTGCCAAGTCCAGTTATTTTAACAGAAAACATAAATGGTCATATTAATACTTTTGGTTGTGATAAAAAAAAAATCTTTTGCAATAACATGCAAAAAATATGCCATTACTGTGGGAACCCAGCCATAAAACACACCATCAACAAGAGGAGCAAGATACAAAAAAAAAAAAAAAAAAAAAATCTAAAGTAGATAATTGTTGATCAAGTTGTTACTGTGACTCAACATTTCTATTTTTTCTTCTGTGTTAAATTCGTAGGATCAGTGATCAGTTTGAAAGAAAGATGAATCCGGTGGGTTTAAGTAATGAGGATTGGATCGAGAAAAACAGCCATTCAGCCTAATTCCAATATATATCAAACTTTTACTACTAAATTAGAAAATAATATCCACGAATTAGTGAGCTTTTATATTGTTTTGTTCGTTTTTACTTTTGAACCAAGTTTGGCCTGCTTGTTGTTTCTGCTGTTTCAGTGTTTACTGAAGTGAATGTCAGCATTATTTCAATAGAAGCTAAAAGCTACGGATCCTTAAATACAGGAATCAAAACGTTTGTTTTGTGAATATTATTTTAGATCTCAATTAGAAAGTTTTAATTGAGTAGGAGTTAATTAATATAATGGGGCCAGGTAATAAGACATGGTGATAAATAATTTCCATTTAAGTCAGACTTGAGGGATTACAATTTGAGTTTAAAGTCTGATTCACCCTGTAAACTGTAGTCATCTAAGTGTTTTATCAGTAAAATGTGGTAAAGGTTCAGGATGAGACCGTGAGACTTGTTCATGGTCCGGGTGTTGTGAGTGAAGCCAGGTGTCACTGTGAGATCTGAAATTCAACCAGCCTCCTGTTAGGATCCACACTTAAAAAAAACAAACAAATCAAAACTAAAACTGAAAAACTGGCATGTAATGATAATGTGTGCCATACTGATAATGTGATAATGATGATAAATATAAGCATGTGCCAGATTTACAAACACTTGAACGTGTGATTCTAAGTTGTTGAAGCGTTTCAACCACCGGTGTCTACATCAGGCTGATGTTTTGAAGAGAAAGCTTTTGGTTTTTACACATATTTCTACCTTCTCTGTGTTAGTGCCACATTTTATAAGCTGTGGTGTGTGAGGACACGTTTAAAGACTGAGAGCAGAACGGTGCTTGAGATATTTATAAACAGCTTTAGAACCTAAACCTGCGGAAACCTGAAAAACTGACGTCCTGTATGTGACATCAGTAATTGGCCCAGCCATGCAGCTGCAGACTACACTACTTTATTCAATGTGTGAAATACTGAGATACAAGACTGTCGGTGGCCAAAAAGTAAAGGCGGCATTGTGGGAAAATGACACTACAGGCAGAGCTGGCTAGCACTAGCACTGACCATGTCAAAGTTTTTACTTAATTTAATGCACAATTAGCTTCACACAGTCTTCACTCATTTAGAGTCACAAGCTGTGCTTTGTCTTCTCTTTACCTTTAAATGGGATCATAGTACTGATTGTTACAGGATCTTCAGTTGAAGACCACAAACTCCTCTTAAATGAACCTACAAATTCTATAAATCAAGTAAAAGCATAGCTTTCTCATCTCCAGGCTCAAAGTCATAACGATTTCCTTTTTGCAAAAGGTGGCGTCAGCTTCTGATGATTCACTTTTGACCCTTAAAACTGCGATCCTTCACAGCCAGATGTGTAGGGAGCACATGTGAAAACTGTCATCCAGTATAATTCACATTCCAAATGCGTCCTTAGCTGACACTGCCTGGAGTCTGGTCATTTTCACATCAGATGGAAGTCAGTCGATGGGGAGTGATGAAGTGACAATGATCAAGCAGCAGCAGACACACACACTCTGCCACTTTTACATGTTTGCACAATCAAATATCTGTGCTCCTTCCTTTCCTTTATTCGATTGGTAACTTCGAGAGGAGTTAAGATGGAGCAGACTTTTCTTTGTCTGCGAATGTTAAAAAACAGAGTGAGAGCTAAATCGTGCTCGTGTGATTTATGAGCGTCTCTGTTGTGGCAATTTCAATTCACCCGGCCTCAGCCTGCCAGGAAGAATCTCTAATCTCATCTCTGTTTTCAAAATTATGGCCTTACTCCATAAAATGTCAAACCAATGCAGAGAGGAGTGGGAAAACGTCTATTATGTATGCACCCAAGTCATCCACAAAGAGGAAACACAACACTGTGCTCACACTGGTGACATTTACAAGATTTGTTCTTCCCCTCGGATCCTGGAGGGACTGCGGTCATGGACAGTAGACGGGGAGGAAAACTGACAGCAGTCAAAGTGACTTTTCTGAACCGAGCCCAGGATTTTTGTGGGATTGTTTTCCTTTTACAGGAAATGACTTGCCTCTCCATTTTCAAAATAAAGCAGAGTGTTGATTCAAAGCTAATGCTGCAGAGGCCTGACAGTGCTTTTCTTTTCTTTGCCTCAGACAGATTATCTTTTGTATATTTACAGTTACCTCTGTACCTTTTAGTGTGTATTATAATGGCAGCCGACCAACCATTCAGCTGCATCAGAGGAGTAACTGAACATTCTATTTTAACTGTGAAAGCTGTGTGTGTGTGTGTGTGTGTGTACGTGCAAAATGTGTTGCTTTCGGCAGTTATGAATGTGTGTGTCAAATGACGGTCACATGAATGACAGGAAATGAATATGACAGTGTACAGGATCGAACGCTGCTATTATATGATTCTGCAAACCACAACTTCACCTTAGACATGCTGACCTAAAGAAGCTTGTTTGCTGTTGGCAGGCAAGACAAACAGTCACCTCACTGTCTGAAAGTGGCCTTTGTTGAGTTCAGTAGTTCAGTTACAGTTTTCTCAGTAGTGTTGTTCACAGACTATTATTGTCTCAGTGAGTATACAATAAAAAGCCAGTATCCAATGTATACATTTGTGCTGACGAGGCAATGGAAATGCAGATAAAGTTAGCATCCAGCAAGGGTGTTTTTTTAATAGCTAACCAATTTGCCATGATTTACTCTGAAAGTTTGTTTTTCATTTTGGTGCCAGTGTCATGCCCGTAAGCATTTCTCAGTTGTCAAGGCCATGAATGTAATCATCTTTGTAGTTTTATTTTACCATTTCCAGTGGTTTGCAGAAAAATATAAGAAGCAACGTTTTTCCTGGAAGAACTGAACGGAAATACTGAAGACATGTTTTGCCTTTTAACTTAGTCATTCCTGAAAATTCTTCCTGTTTATTTCCTACGAAAACAAAGAGCTGAATGTGTTTTCAAACCAATGATATTTGATATGAAGTCATTTTGTCAGATAGCTGTGATTATTTTTTTCATTTTTTTCATTTTTTTAGGATCTTTAGGATCACTGAAGGTTAACCAAGCTTGTTAAGGAGAATCCAAACAATCCAAATATGACGTGGAGTTATTCTTAATGTTTCACTGGGTAAAACCTTTACATCCAAACCTTTGACAATTATACTAAAATCATACCTAAAACAGATGCATATGACTGAATGAACGTCTGAATCAGTGTGTAGTTTTGCTGTGTCAAGGTTTAAGAGTCAAACATGTCAAAGGAGCCAGAAATCAGCCGTAACCAATGGAGGTGATGGAGACAAATTAGAGACAGAGTGTGTCTTTGCTTCTACGCATGTATTAGGCCATTTAACATTTTTGTTGTTTGTTTTGTAATAAAAATAAACCTTTTCTGAAGTGACAAGAACAATGGACATCATCTACTGCATTTATTTATATTCAGGTCTCTGAAATGTATTATTCTAGATCACTGGTGTCAAATGGACCACATCAGCCTTAGAAGGGTTTTTTGAATGTTAAATGTTGTACATTCATTTGTCCTATGGTTGTTTAGCCTCCACTGAAATGGACAAAAAGCCACACTCTTTAAAAGGCAAACTACAACAAACTACATACAATAAATAACTGTGAACTGTTCAAAAAATATGGCTAACAGTCCTGCAGAGGGCGCACACAACTTATGCAAGGCAGGTATGTTGCAGTAATTCTCTGATTTCATAAATACACAAAGACTACAATGCTGCACGTGATATATTTAATATTTCCCAGAGTACCAGAAGTTCTCCACTCATTGAGGAAGAAATGTAGTTAATATGGCTATTTAAAATGATATCTGGTTTCTCCATCCTCTCACAAACTGTTCCTGAAGAGTACATCAGGCTAATAGTCAACACAAACACAACCAAGACCATCTGGTTGTTATGGCTTACTCACGATTTAGTCTCATCAGCCACCTGTCTCTTCAATGAGGCTCATCATGTCCTGATCCTTCATGTAAACCCTAACAAATCCCTGCTACAAACCATCTGAGGCAGTCACCCTGTGATCAATCATCAACCAGTACAGTTTTTAATATTTCCATAAAGATTTATTTACATCACTTGTGTTTTTCCTCTCTAGTACAACAATAAAAGACAAGTCCTGTCACCTAAAAATGTGTAAATTTACACTATAAAACAGCAAGGCTTTCAAAAAGATAATTTTAACACTTACAAAAGTAAATTCACAGATTAGACACAGCACTGAACAAGTGTAACGCCGGTAAAATGATGTGAAGCAATGAGGAGCAAAATCATTACTCTAAGCTGGAGAGCAGAGTTGTCACTCTCAATTTGGTTCAGGCGCCAGAACCAGTACAATCATAACATAATCATCAGAACATAATTACCTAAAAGTAACAAAATATCCATCTTCCCCCCTTTGTTTCCATGCAAAAAAAAAGTACTTTAGAATACTTCATATTAAGTGAAATATAATTTTACAAAACATTTCCTGAACATGAAGTGTTTGTATATTATTTTCAAAATGATCAAAAAAGGCCGGTTGTGGCCCACGTGCCGTATGTTTGCACCCTTGCTGTAGAGCTTGAGCTTCCACCGAATGCATCTTTGGTTATGTACAAACACAATGTGCATAAGTTCACAGTCTGTACAGTCTTCACATCTCAACTCAATTCAACACGTAAAGGCAGCTGGGAAATTACTGTAACTGTGTTACAACCCTCAGCAACACAAACAATTCTCATTTCAGAAAGAATTGGTGTCACAGCAATCTCTACCCACTGAAGTAATAATTCATGTATTATATTCATTTTTAATAGATGACACCTTATTGAGAAAAAAACGAACATGTATTTGATGACTAAATTAAGTTCAACTGTGGAAAGTAAATGTAGTTGGATTTGTATTTCCCAATAAATAAAAGAGCAAAAAGTGGTGACAATATAGAGGAGAGTAAAACTGAGTCAACAAACTTCAAAATGCTCTTACTGTTATTATTCCACTGAGGACAGACATCACTAGACGGTGGCTGCTTCAAACTTTTGATAGTTTATAGAGGTAACAAAATCTTACCGGTTACTGCACTCGTCATTTCAGCACCGATTTGACGTACTGACAACACAAGATGTGCATGATCCACTAGTCTGAGCGGATGACAAAAGATGCTGACAGCAGCCACAGCAGACTAAGAGACTAAGGGAACTGTACAGTCCACAGTGGAAACACACAACACAGTTCCATGTCTTTTAAGTTTAAGTTCTTCTTAGTCATTAAAGGTGATAAGCTGATCCAACACATGGCAGCAGGACGTTGCTGCTCTTGCCAGCTTATGTGGACCGTATTGTGATTTGTGTAAAAACGGGGCAAGATGTAAGGAAAGAAAAATCTATTGCAACCTAAAGGAGGTTTGACATGGATGAACTCCATATATAAGAACCAGGTGTTGTGTTAAAAATAATTAAAAGCATGATGCCAACCAATAAAAATGCTTTTACCCATAAACCTTATCACGATGATATTTATCTCTGGTGCTCAGTTAAACAGCTGATTATTTACTATATTTGTAGCAGCTCATCTGTTGTTTTATCCACGTGGATAGAAAAATAATAATGTTATTTTATATTTTCCCTTAAACTGTGTTATTTAAGAGAGATGCAGACCAAAGTGGATAAAAGTTGATAAAGGACTTTATCTGTCATTAAAAAAGTAATGTAAAAGAAAATATAAAAATGTATTTAAATATAGCAGAGACATTTTCAAATCGCCACACATTTACCCAGAGTGATGTTAGAAGAGATACTTTCGACAGGAGTCTGACCCACACCGACATTCCACACGGATCCTCTTCTTTGGTGAGCACGGGAGCCCAGCTTGACTGAAACTGGTATCCATTTTGGTGCTTTCTGTGTCAAATGGATCAACTGAAAGAACAAGAGGAGCACTATAATATCCTGTGACGTAAAGTAACAATCATAAGCCATCCCTCTTCATACAAACCACATGATTGTTCGCGATGATATCATTATTATGAAATAAACTACTTTATTAACATTGACACTACAGTGCCACAGTTTAACTCCAACTCAAATGAGCTGTTTCAAACATACGTACTTTTCATTTTGTAGTCAAAGGTGAGCTCCTCTCCTGCTCGAATGGCCCGTGTTGAGAACAAAGCAATTCTAGGGAGTCTTTCGTCAATGTTATTAACAAACACATTAAAGACCTGCAGATTTGGGTTGCACTGAAAAAGAAGAAACATTTTCAGTCAGAAGAAGTTGTGTTTCCTCCCTTTAAGTTAAATAGGGCTGAAAAATGGTCTTTTAATTTTAATGTCAAAGACAAAGGCAAGACTTAGTTTGAGATGTATTCTATATGACACCAACAATTTAATAATATAGTTTAAAGTAAGCCTTAGCACTGATTACACTACATTACAGCACAGGGAACAGACAGTTACACCTGACCTATTTTGTAGAGACCTGTTTAACCAACATTGTCTGTGTTCATTTGTTTATTGAAACTTGGAAATGGTGTCAAGTTTAAGTGAAAGCGAATGTGCTTTCTATTGAAATGTACCAAACTATACAAAAGGTTTAATTTTATTTATCATTAATGCTACATATTTAATCCTTCCACATAAATTATTCCTTTCTATCAGTTTCATTGAGATTTGCTCTATTTATTTTTGACTCTTTCTTTAAAAAGATGTACAGTTTCAACATCCTTGGCCTAAGGCGTTTCGTGGTTATGTTGCCATATCCCATAAATTTATTAGGAAAGTCTTGGTGTAATTACATTTCTACACAGCCTTCTGCACTGAATATTCGTACCAGCCATTCTACCTCACTGAAAAGGTTTGTTCTGTAGAGTTCTGAAGACACTCACGCTGTGGTTGACAAAGTGGGAGACGTTGCCATGGTAGGCAGCGTCCACTGTGTATACATCCTCAATGTAGTCCAGGTCAAACAGGTAGGTAGATCCTTGTTTATCATATATTTGACCTCTGCGCTCAGCTTCTTCTGATGTGATAATCTGCAAGACAAACATAAAACAAACCGCACAATTATTCTTTCTCACGATACAAATAGAAGAATTTCAAAGACATACACAGTGTCCTTTGTGTATAATGAATACTACAATAACGTATTATACATTTTAGCAGTACATACACAAGCATCACCGATTAAGGCTAAAAGACAGCACTGGTTTCTATATGCAGCAGAACCCAATAAAGGTAGGTGGGGACTGGTAGAAAAAACAATCATAGCATTAAGATAATTAATGAAGCATGATTGGACCATATCACTGATGAACAAGTCTTACCTCTCCTATGTACTCCATGACAAACATGTTTTTCCTGATGTGCTGCAGTGTTTTGACGCCCCAACCTCGGCCGTTCTCCGTCTTAAAGATGCACAAATCAAACTGTATGCCTTTCTGCACCACTCTGTTGAGGCAATCGGGGCCACAACTGCATCGGGAATTGCACTCATATATGGGTTGCCCCGCCTTCAATCGAACTTGTCCCTTATCAGTGTACGCCATGCGATGTGAGGAGGCCCCAGGACAACAGCCATTCAATGGCTCCTCTACACAATTCTTACACTCACATCCCACTGCCACCTCATTTATCATTATGCCAGGACCTACTCTGTAGTTGTCAATGTAGGTGAAGTTCTTAGGAGGGCATTCAAAGTCCACTTTGTTTTCAACAAAGATTCGGCCTGGATGAGTGTGAGTCTGGTTTACAAGATCCTGCCATTGCTGCAAACTTCGACGATGTTTGGCTTTCTTAGTCAGAGTCAGAGAAAGTTCCTTGTCCAGTTTTTTAGGAATGCTACGTTTCTTGAGGGCACGCAGTTCATGATTGAGGTCCTGGTGGAACTGCTTTATCAGTTTGGAGCATTTGAGATTCCCCTTGGGCTCCCAGGTGTTTTGACACTCTGGAAACCCTTTCCACTTCACAAAATAAAACTCCTCGCCCTAAAAAAAAAATCAGGTCAATTATAAATGAGACTGATTTGGATCAATATTAATGTATCACTGTGTTACTGGCAGTATATACAGAAACAAATGGATAAATATATATTAGGAGAAAATAGAGAAAAAAACTGTATTGTTATTTAGTTCACACACAAGTAGAGCAGTGTGCTTTTCTGAAAATACTGCTGTCTCACACTGATACTGTTACCGTACCTTCTGTTTCTTATAGTCACAGAGAAACTCAACCTCATACTCGTTCACATTTGACTTGGTCACCCCGAGGTCTTTACATTGGAGCCTCTCAGCACGGCACAGAGACTCTAGCCCTTCCAAGGACACCTTACAAGTTACCTTGCAATCTGACACACACAAAAACAAAACAAAACATTTTTTTAGTGTAGTGTCAGAATTAACTCTTACAAAGCAATGTTTTTTTTAAACACACAGGACTGAAACCAGCTCTTCAGTCAAATACAAAAACATACTTTTCCAAGTTCAACAACAAGCATATTTCCAAAACCTTTAATGCCCACCCCTAAAGGTTTATTTTCGTCTAGATTGAAGGTATTTTCCAAAACAGTTTAAGAATTTTAGAAATGTTTAAAAAAAAGTGCTTTACTGTTTTTCACATCACTTGAGGCAGAATTATAAGTTTCATGTGCTCAGGAAACAGAATCAGCCGAAGAAACGGAATCAGCCAGAAACCTAAAACTGAACAATTCTGAGGAGCAGATAGATGGGGCATTCGTGTGAACTAAGATAAATAACATGTAAAAGTCATGCATAAAGGCTAAAAAGCGTTTCTCATTTTCCCTATTGGGGAAACGTGGGTATTGCAGGAAAAGGCAGAAGTATAATAATATAAATACATTATATCATTTGGAAAGGTTTGGCGGGCTGTATATAAAAAGCTGAACGGGCTGCATCCAGCCCCCGGGCCCCAGTCTGCCCATGTTTGCTTTAGACAACGGGTCATAATATGTTACATATGTACAATATTTAAAACATTTGAAAATTAAAGGGCATCTGTGGTCTACAAAAAGAACATATAGTTACACACATGAAGACACTGAGTTTGACTGAATATTTCCTTTTTGATCTATTAAACATCAAACATGTATAGGTTCGCATGCTGTGTGAATGCATAGAAGAACTGTAGGCTTTCAAATGTCTCATGTTAAGACGTTTGTATCTAGCAGGAAGAAAATACATTGTGCTTTTTTTCTGCATTGCTTGCCATACAATAAGTCCTAACGTAGGTAAAAGTTGCTCAGGATGCAATTTATGCTGTCAATGCTTGACAATAAAAAATACGCTGTAGTATCAATATGGCAGTTTCAGGCAACTATTTAGGCAACTAATGTGACAAAGCCTTGCGCGGTGAACTCGTAAAAAGTTTTGCCAATTGAACCATAGCATTGTTCTTTTAACTAATAAGTAAAAATAAAAATGACATACATTTTATCGGAAACGTAATCAGGAAGGTTTCTGTTAAACTGCACATTTCGAGTAGTAAACACGGCTGCGTGGACACCACGATCACCACTTTCACTTTTACAAAACCCCGAGGATTTAAAAAGTAAACACAGCGACTACCATTACGTGTAAGCTTGTGAGAAAATAATAAGAAGACGCATATACAAATGTCCATACATACCGTTTAAATTTTCCGCCATGTTTTCTGCAGAGCCGCCAAAATAACAGTGCGTTTAGTGGGAGGAACGTTCCTGCCGCAGGATACCCAATGGTAGCTGCTGATTGGCTAAGCAACACGTTTTAGAATTCTCATTGGTTTAAAAGTAGTCATGTGGTCAGGAAAGATGGTCGAAAGACAATGGAGGACGCACCGACGTAACATTTAAAATCACATCCTATTCACAAACATTTACGAAGTATTTTAAAGTTATATCACCTTCTAAATTAAAACCCTTCTTTACCAGACAAACATATAAATGTGAAGTGAAATGAGGCCTGATTGTTTTTAATGAAACACCACATGTTAACCTATTATTAAGTTAGTGTTTTTTAAATTTCGTAAATCCGAAGACCCATTAATATTAGAAGCAAATAATATCAAACAAGAATTTAACCAAGCAAATACTATTTATTTTATTTATTTATTGGTACTTTCTTCAGACATTAACTTTAATAAAACAATAAATGAAATCAAAGTATTTAATTTTATTTGCAATCATCATCTATTGCAAAACACTGTCATAGAAAATGTATTTGGCTGCAGTCAGTGTGGCTCAGAATTTCTGATGTTCCATCAGTTGAAAGGTAGTCTGCATCCTAAACCTGTGCCAATTTCAAACAATATCTTTACATAGATTTTAAATTAGCATCAATTGACTCATATGAGTCAGTCCTTGAAATTATCTTAAATTCAATTTACAGTTTCTCAGTGAAGATTATGAAAGGGATGTAGTTATATTGCACTGCCCCTTATAATTGTATACTATTATATAAAACTAATATTAATTACATTTATCTAATATAAAACGTTCTTTTCAGGTCATCTCTGCCTTTGACTTTTAAAAGTATTTGTTAAGCTCTGATCAAATCAGTTATCTGTTTTTACAGACTTTGATCTAAATTGGAATTATGAAGCATATCATTATGGTTACATCATTACTACATCAAAGGCCTTTATAACTAAATAAATAAGGAAAGAAAGGGTTAGCTTCCACACTGTAGTGACAAGGCCATAAAGTGCAAGGTGTTATGAAAATGTAAGGAGTCATGATGTAGCCCCTCCTTGGTGCTAACACCAGCTGAACACCACCAAGTTGTACAAATTAAAAAAAAAATGGGGACAGTACTGCAACATTGTGAAGGAAATAACAGGCAAATGAGGCAAATGAAACAATAGGTGGAAAGAAGAAGAAAAGGAGCATGGTATTTTAAACTTGGGTGATTTAAGGGAAATATCTGTTTAATTAAAATGTCTGCTAAACAGATGCATACACAAGGAAAGGCCAAGATGCCCTCGTTTTACACCCAGAAACCTGTTCCAAAAGAGAACAAGACAAGAAGGTTAACGCCATCTGTTTATAGTCAGGAGATGTCACTGTCTACAGAGGAGCGTTTTGCAAACACCAAGGAGGTGCATCCTCCCAGAATCCTGGAGCTGATGGATATGAGCATGACTACGCATCAAAAAATGTCTATGGTGGATATGGACCAAGCTCTATTTCAGCCCTACCCATCTGAGCTGATCTTCCAAAATGTTATTCCCACACATATCTACAAGCTACAGCTGCGACTGTTCAATGTGGACAAGGTTCCACGACGGGTTAAGGTGGAACTGCAGGAATCTGAGTATTTCAGTGTAGTTGGTCCTGAGAATTCATTGAGCAAAGTTGCACCATGCAGATCTGTGACTTTCACTGTATTCTTCAAGCCACAAGAAAAGAAGGACTACCATTTCAGTGTGGTTTTTGTGACAGAGAGGGAAAGATTTGAGGTCCCAGTCCATGCTATTGGGCCACGAGCCATTTTGAATTTCCAGGATGAGATCCAGTTCCCCATGTGTCTAGTGAAAGCCACCATGGAAAGAACACAACAAATGATTAATGTTGGTAACAGCCCAGCCAAATTTGAGCTAACCACACAGGAGCCATTTTCAGTGGTGCCCTCCTGTGGCACTCTTGAAATAGGGGAGAGCATGCAGGTGGTTATCAGTTTCAGTCCCATTACCAAAGGAGAATACAACCAAGATTTGCTGCTACACTACCACACAGGTGAAAATGTTTTCGCCTCCCTGCGTGGGACTTGTGAGGAATTGGACATCAATCTTGGAACTGACTCCATCACTCTAAACAAAACTTACATCTCTCTAGCCAGTATACACAAAATCTCTCTCACAAACACCAGTGACAGCATTCTTCACTACTGCTGGTCAGTGTGGGCCAGCCAGCTGGAGGAAAACCTTAGTTTGATGAGGGGCAGCTCAGTTCTGCAGGAAATGGAGGAGGAGGTGAGGGAGCAGTTGCTCTTTCAGTACAAGTCTGACCCCACATTGATCCATCGCCTTCCTGTCCTTTACAGAGCTCTACAGTATGGCAAAGGGAAAACAGAACTAGACCACCTTGTCTTGTCACACAGCTGTATAACTCTTGAGCCAGCAACAGGTAAAATCTGGCCCAAAATGTCTCAAACGTTTACGATTTTTTTCAAACCAAAGAAGGCCAAGTTTTACCAGGGCACCATCTACTGTGATATCACAGGCCATCAATCTCGGTTACCTCTCAAATTCAAAGGTGAGGGAATGGGACCTAAACTGCAGCTTAGCTATAATATGATGAATATGAAAAATGTATTTGTTGGTGAAAGGAACTGTTATGAAGTAGATGTGTCCAACAAAGGGTTGATAGATGCCCCTTTCAAGTTATCTTGTCCCAACACCACCTTTGGACGTTGTTTTTCCTTTAATCCTGATGAAGCGGTCATTCCCTTTGGGGGCCACCAGATTGTGAGAATCGTCTTTCACAGTCGCACCATAGGACCTTTTTCCGAGGACCTAATTCTAACAGTTAAGGGACAACCAAAGCCACTAATCCTGACCTTCAGGGGTTGTGCTGTTTGTCCTACCTTCCACTTCAACCTCGCAGAGCTAAACTTTGGAGATGTAGCCTTTGGTTTCCCAAAAACATTGACCTGTACTCTCTTCAATACTTCTTTTGTACCCATGTATTTTTCTTTACGTGTCTTGGGGGATGGATTAGGATCTCCCAGTGTCACCAGTGCCAAACAAGTGTCTGATATGTCAAAGTACAACTGGAAAAGCTGTACTACAAGTGAGA